ATAAGAGATAGGACAGTTGATAGGAAAAATCAGGGAGAGAGAGAGAGTGGGGAATGACATGTGGGAAAGGAGCCACAGGTGGGATTTGAACCTGGGCCGCCCGCTTGGAGGACTACAGCTTCCATACATGGGCATGCGCGCGCACTAACCACTGCGCCATTTATAACTGTCGCATACACTCAAAACGGCGTACGCCATTTCCCATGCAGAGTTTGGGATATATAAACGCAAACACTGACCTAGGCGTACGTACATTCTGGTGGCATTAGAAATTGGTGACACAGACATCGAGGGGGTGAATTGAAGCCTGCAGAGTGTATATTGATGTCTCTCATACATTTTATATCACTAAACATCATTATCATTAAAACTGGCAGTTTCATCTGTACGCATGCATGTGGTGAGCCGTTTTCAAGTAACTCTTAATATGAAAGAATTAGCATAGACTATTGTAACCACTAATGTAGGGATCCAAAATATACTCAAACAACATAGTGCCCCCAGTTTTTTGTATTTGCATTTATCATAAAGTGTGATTTTAATTTTTAATAAAGATGACTAAGCTGCAATATGCACAGAGACACGGCAGGGGCTTCACACGTTTTGTATTCTCGTTATTCAGCACATCTTTATCACCGGCACGATTTATGGTGTAAATAAATGTGGTAACTGAGTACAGTATACGCATCTCACAATCATTAGGCCTATATGATCATTCTTTATTCATCATTGTATTTTAAGTGCTAGTAATTTGTTGGAATTAAAACTTTTATTTCATGAAACACACACCATGTGGGTTGAAATAACTTTGAGGACATAGCCAATGATTACAAAAGATTTAAGTTGGTAATCTATGAATTTTGTTAATGCCAAAAAAAGTATGCGGGACAAATGTTAATTTTGGGTTGGGTTCCTTTTTGATAATTTTTACTCTATAGGCTAGGTTTGCTTTCCAAAATATCCCCTTGTGTGTTTAGCGCTGATTATGTAAAGTCGAGTGTCACAAAAGTACGATAGATTATCACATGGGCTTTAGCTTGAGGTAGGCCTATGTCTCCAGTTACCTTGTGTTGTGGATCGGGAAGTTCCCTCAGCAGAAGGATGGGAAGGATGAGTAGAGTTTCCTTCCGTGGACGCAGGGAGGCTATTGTTTAAGTCAGAGGTGGCTACGGTGTCGTCTGTGTCAACTCCCGCTGAGCTTAAATCCTCCAGTGTGTCATCTTTGAAATCTATAGACAGGAATATCTTATAATGCAGTTAACGTTTTGAATCTGTTAAATGTGCTCATGAAAAATACTGATGACATAGTTAAGTTACTAACTATTGTAACATTAGTTGAACACCTTATCTATATTCTGTGTGTCTTCCTGTAAAGGCTCACCATACGTCTCTCCAGAGAAGCCAACATCAACACCATCGTCTGCTGTAGTAGCCAGCGGAAGGTGACCAAGCATCTCGTCCAATCTTTTGTATCATTTAAATGTTGACGGATTAGAGCTACCTCTATTGTTCTGGTGTTTGACCAGGTAGTACTGCTTCTTCAAAATCTTCCATCGAGATCTGACCTGCTCCACCGTACGCGGTGGGAAACCGGCGTCCTGTAGCCTGTTCGCCGCAGACTGAGAACCGAACCGAACCAACGTTTTTGTGTACCGTTACACCCCTAATAACTTTTTTGAATATTCGGTCAGTTGCAGATGTGTTTAGATGTTTTGTGTTTCCATGTGTTTTATCTTGAATCTTATTCTAAAACCTCTAGCAGTAATGCCAGAGTACATCGTCACAGATCGATAGATCATCAACTATCACTGTAACTGATAGATCAGCTGATAAGTAATGGACAATAAAAAATATACTTTTTTATGAAATACACGAGTACAAGATCTACATATTAAAAGAATAACAAACACAATCAAATGGAATTATAAGCAACACATTCTTGTTACATTTCATATAAAAAGTCTGATAAATCATTTTATGAAAACGTGCACAACTTTTAGCAGCACAGAAAAAGTCAAACATGCCTTCTTTGAATTATTTACAGATTTCAGAGAGATATTAATAGTCAACATGTTTCAAACTGTAAACAATTTGCAGTAACAACGGCATGATGATTAATGTCAGTCTGAATCACAGTCGTGGCACATGTAGATGGCACTGCCATCCGTGCAGGCAAGGTGTACTCAGGTCTTGCAAGACACACAAGAGAGCCAGACCTCTTCTGCTTTTGAATAGCTCTCCAGGCAGACAATGCAGTATCCTTCCTCGTCTTCACTTCCATCCTCATTTTCTTTTGTGCACTTGTTTCTTTTCCTCCTTGCATTTTTTCATTTTCTGTAGATGCCCTTTGTTTGTCTGAGTGGCTCTTGTATGGGTTAGAAAGTGGGCTATGAACTCAAGAAAATCCTCATCTTACATCCAGCCAGATTCGTTCGCTGTTCCTACCGAGCAAGGTTGGCCATCCCTGATGAAATGGGGTTGGTAACTTGTCCAGGGGAACACAAAATGTGGCGGGATTGCATTCCCTAATTTATTCACTGCACATGCCACAGTGACAAGGGTTCCACGCTCTCCAGATATCACAGCTCCAACTTGCTTTTGGCTTCTTCTGGCAAGAAACCTTTCTGGATTCTGGACAGTTGTGACTCCAGTCTCCTCCATATTCCAAATATCCTTGGCAGTGATTTTTCTTTTTTTAATTACTGTGGCCAGATTTGTGGAAAACTTGGTGACGTTGCTTTTATCATAGCTTGTTGCTCTTACCAAACTTGTGGCTTGTGGCAGTCTTATCAAAAGGCTTGGTTACCTTTTCAAGAAACCATCCAGCCAGTCAGCCACTCGGTTCTCCTCCCATTGTTTGGAGAACTTGCATTTGTACAAGTTTTCCAACCCAAATTTTCAAACCTGTTTGAAATAATTTGTGTGTAAATAAATAGGCTATAGTAGATCAACATAAACTAGTAAAAGTAAAGTAAACAGTTCATCCTGCACAAATACACACAAAGCACAATTAATTCATCAAATATGACAGACAAGTGTTCACTATAATCTTACCTCCTTTGGACTTAAACCACAGTACAGGTTAGCAGCCTTGAGAAGGTAATTGCACAGTATGTTCTCCTGCTCTGCTGTGAAAACTTTTCCTGCCGGCTGGTATCCTGAGCTCACATTTGGTGCGCCTTCTGTCCCTGACAGCCTTGTCTCCTTCTTCAAATACCGATATAGGGTCACATGACAAATGCCATGCAACTTGGCTGCGTTTCCCTGGGCAACATCAAACGCTGCACTCTCAAAGAGTGAGTGGCTGCAGTCCACTCTACCTGCATGCGGCTGCCCAAAATGAGCCATTCTTCTGTTAAACTCTGTACATCAAGCTGCACAGTGAAAGTCAAACATTCAACTGTAGAACAAGAACACAAATGTTTTCAAGTGGAGAACGGTTGATTTGGAAAAAACAGCATGTTACGGAGCGATCACTTAGACGCGTCTCCAAACAGTCTCTCTGTTTCTGCAGAGACATGGCTCAATTCTGCAGCTGCTGTTCCACATACTTCCATCTGTACAGAGAGCTTGTTCAGAGCCTGTTGTTCTGGTAACAGACAAAGAACCTGCCAGTCATGGTATCAACAGATGTCCTCCCGGAGACTTGGCCAATGGAATTTGTTTATGCCATTGCGGTGAATACACTTTCACACTGTGCCTGTCTGAATCCACGATGACACCTGGGTATGCTTCATTGTCTTAATTAAGGATGCACAACTCTCCAATGTGCTTTACTTCAATCATTTCTGGTCTCCTAGTGTTATCTGGTGTCTTTTCACATGCTGGGGACTCATCAGATGAAACAGGAACATCAGCTAGAGTGACCTGTTGAAGGTTAAAGCAGGGGATGTCCAAAACACCTTCCTCCCTTCACCTGCTGTGAGAGTTTAGAGCACTAGAGAGAGCCAGAGAAGAGAAGATGAATGAGAGGTCTGGGGCTGATGACCCCCTTGGACACATTCCCTGCAACTCAAACAAGCAGGTGGAGCAAAGTGGCGAGGCTGTCAAACATGGGAAACTATTATTAAATAAACTATTGTAAGAAAGCTCCGGACATATAAATGTAACATTTGATGTATATATCTTTAATACTCTTTTATTGGACAAATAATTGAATTAGCCCCTATTCCGGAAGAAACAAGCACAATCTTTGTCTTTCACAAAATCCTAAATCCAGATTGTAACGTTCAGATGATAAGAAATTATTTGTATCTAAAAGAAAGTACAGACTATAAATTATCTGATAAAACACAATGTGGCGCAATGGTTAGTGCGCGCATCCCATGTGTTGAGACTCTCGCCTCAAGCAGTAGGCCTGGGTTCACTTCCACCCATGGCCCCTTTCCGCATGTCATTCCCCGTTCTCTCTCCCTGGTTTCCAACTCTATCCACTGTCCTGTCTCTGCATTAAATAAAGGCACAAAAAAGCCCAAAAAAAACACAGTCTGCTGCCTTTAATGTGACTGTATACAGCAATATTCATCTGTTATTGGGTGTTCTTTATTTATTTTTATACAGCTGGAGCTGGGATTAAACTGTGAAAGGAAAACTTTATGTGTACTTTGCACATGGAACAAGGTCAAGGACTATTATCATGCTTGCATTAATGGAACAGATTTATGTGCCTGTGTTTGCTCTTTTGAGGTCGTGTTTGCAGTGAATGATTTATGGAGGGAGGAGAATTTGCAGGGAGAAGTGGAGCAGCAGTTAACAATTTGCTTCTCATGTCTTTTCCCTATTCTCCTTTTGATATTGTTTGATGCCAATTTTTTATGATTTGTCATCCGACATTTAAAAAAAACGGAAGAAAGCGCTCTGTCAACTGAAGACTGCTAGTCTGGCCCCGACAAGGCATCAGAACAGGAGTTTCAAGAATGGGGGTCAGGTGTCGCTGAGGAAATCACAGCAAAACGTCACAGAGGAATTATTGTATTTTTGTGGAACAGTATTCTGTACCAATGGCTTCCTTTTTAATGGACCTTGTGTGGTGTTTGCTCCCCATCCTGCTCCTCCTGCTGCTGTCTCTGGCTCTCCGCTGGCCCAGGGCATACTCCTGGACACGGCTGGCTGTCAGGGCTGCATGCTGGAGACTCTGGGTCATAATTTGCCTGATCTTGGAGCTACCACTGGACAAACGAACAATAACACGGACCAAAGAGGCCGGATCAGCAGAGAGAGATATTTTGTCAGGGTCAAGTCAGGTCTCAGATGGCCCCCAGCTCATCTGCAAAGCAACTGCGTTGGCCAAATATCTGCTCAGCCACTGCAACTCTCTGGCTAGGCCAAGACTGGCCTCGTGGCCCAGAGGAGATCCCCACTTCCAGACTCTGTCCAGCCTGCTTTTTGGACAACATGGGGACACAGTACAGTTCACTAGAGACCACCTATTACTAAAAGACGGGGGCATTGTAGCTCTGGACTGGGCTGTGGGAACCAGACAGGCTGAGAGGAAGAGGTGGGAGGGGAGGAGGGAGCACCAGCCAGGGGGGAGGATACCTGGCAGCATCACCTCAAACCCTCCTGTCCTCCTCCTCATCCCACAGTTTTGGGGAGGGATGACCCCTCACCTAAAGATGCTGTGCCATCAGGCCATACATCAGGGCTTTTATGTGGTGGTGTCTCACCCTCGAGGCACAGTGGAGTGTCCACTGACCACAGCTCGACTCACTGAGTTTGGAGACCCAGCTGATCTCGAGCAGGTATAGAGACAGAAACATTTATTCTCATTAATACAAGATGGCAGGTGTACACTGTCTCTTTATCTAGGAGGTTAAAGGCTTTATATGCGATTTTTCACACTTAAATGTAATAGAAATCAAGTATATCCTCTGAAAATAACTCTGTGAGTCATGACTGTCTACAATGGGTGTAACACCCGAGTCCCACTGTCTGTGACACTTTCAGAGTCATATTTTCAGTTTGTTTACATCGCCCGGACGGCAGCAGACTCCTCCCCTCGCGTATAAAAGTTGTTTAATTGAGGGACTAGAGAAAAGAAGAATAACATACTGTACTCACTGTTTAACTGTGTTTCTAGATCACACTCATTTCGGGTAAATTTACATGCAGTGTGAAGATACGAGCATAGTAAAGATCGATAGCATTAGCATGCTAACACAACAATGCACCAAGAGTTGTTTTGGTTTCATGCTGGTGCTCAAGGGCGACATCTGCTGGATGAAAAAATCGCGTATAAGGGAAAAGTACACTTGCTATTTTTTTTCGTCCAAGATTCTATGTACTGAGCTTATTGTGAATCTGTCCTGAAGTGTATTGCTTAATATGACCAAAATTGAACAGCTACATTTTGATTAAATGTTTTCTGTTATTTACTTGGTAAAATGTCTTAATGGATGTGAGTAAACAAATAACATTTTAAGCTAAATAAGAGTCATGCTGTGTGGATACAGCGAAGTGGCTCAAAGCTTTAATGTTGCACCATCACATTTTAGTTTGTTAGCATGCTAGTATTAGCTTTAAAGGATTGGACATAAGAACAGCTGAATGGATGTGAATGTCAAGTTTTCTAAGCAATTGATCAGAAACAGAAATATTGTAGTTTGGTGGCAATCAGCTGAGAAGTTACTGGGTCACAAAAGTTAGTCTCATCCTCTTCTTGGGACCATGATAGTTTAAAAAAAACATGTCTTAGTTATCCATTAAGTCTCTGGATTAGGTCAAATAGCTCAAGCAACACTTTTTAGTTTGAAGAAGAACTTTATAAGACTTACACCTTTCGGCTTGTGGCCTTCATCCAGTCATCAGTCTGGACAGAATTTTCAGCCTATACTGCCGCAATTAACGCATCTAATATATTATGATTTCTTCAATTTTCAGGTGATAACATATGTCCACAGCCGCCACCCATCCTCTGCTCTCTTTGCTGTGAGTGAGGGTTCAGGCTCAGGGATTCTTCTTTCCTACTTAGGGGAGAGCGGATCAGGTTCTTACCTGACCGCAGCTGCAGCTATCTCACCTGTTCTCCTGGGCCAGCAGTGGTTTGAAACGGCAATGCCTCCGATCTACCACTGGGGGATTTTGTTCCAGCGGAAAATGCAGCTCAGAAGGTGAGAGAACTAAACACAAAAAGGATTATGTTGTAGTTGTTAATATGAATGCAATCCACCCTATTGTTGTTCTCACTCTCTGGTCAGGAAGCTTAAACGCTACACTATTTCGGTGAGTCCCATTGACTTTATATAAACATGGATGTAGTCTCAGTGAGGTCACCCATGAGTTACTGAAGGAGACTTTTGTAACCTATCAACAGGGGATTACCATTTTGGAAAAGCTGTGTCAGCGTCACTTTTGATCATCCTAACAACGGGCAATGAGCTGAGGCAGGTACTTGCAGTCAAATTCCACCAGATGTGTGTTCGGTCCGTCCAGTTCGTTACGGCAGCGGTGTTGATAGGTTTACACTTTATTTATTTATGTGTGCTTCCACCGGCTCTGCTGCGCTGCGTGCGTCTCCAGAGCATCAATTTACCACAGAAAAGATTGAGTGGGACGGGAAGTCAGACATTAAAACATCCGGGGATTTCCTCAGAATAAAACACTCTGTTTTGACAGTTCTGAACAATGACCTTGTGTGTGTTTGTTTTTGTGTTTTCAATGGTTTTAAATGGTTTTACACAACATACATCGTATTATCTTGTGCTGTCGCCAGTGAATATGTCAAATTACCGGGGCGAATTCCCTGTCTCGGCACTCCAGCTGACAGCTGGACAGCCTGTGGGTGTCTACGGATGAGGGGGCACGGAGCCGTTACGGACCGGAGTGAACACGCAATGCACACGTATCTGGTGGAAGTTCTGGCTAAATCTCCTGATAAACAGCGACAACCCATCCAGCCGTCAGTCAGATTAGCCACGCCCCCATTATAAATGACTCTGTCCTTAATAGAAAAAAAACAGATTAGTTACTAAAAAACACCCTGCTCAGAGTGTGCATGCAAGGAAGTGAGCTTGTCAGACAACATTTTGTGGGGGGCAATTTTAACCTGGCTGTAAAAACATTCATTTTTGAATGGGGTGTGTATGTGACGTCCGGGACTTTTGCCTCCAACCCTTAAAGTGGACGCTTAAGGAACAACATTTTTTCTCTACTAACGTATTGGCTTCATATTTCAACACTGGAGGTTGCCACTTAGTGAGTCTGCTTATCTGGAGACTTGTGGAATTTACCCAGAGGTCACTGCAAACTTGGAAGGACGTGGACGCATCTTGCCCCTGCAAAATGCAAACAAATGTCCGGCTGTTGAAGTAGTATTCATAAATTATGAAAAAATTAATTGTCACCAAAGCAAGCATGTATGTGTCTGGAAAATGCTAATATGTTTAAGTGACCATATGTAGCCTAGTTTTCTTTTGTTGTTAATTAAAGAATGTTTGAAGAGCTGCTTATGTTTTTCAGTATAATATTCACAAAATATTAATATTGTGTTTGTCTGACTTTTGATCATGTGTTGAGATAGAGAAAAATGTTAATGACGAAAATACAAATATTCCCGGGGAAGTGTGATTTCTTCTTATATAATGGTGCGTATCATCTCAAGCCCTCTCGGACTCACGCACTGCACACCTACAGTAACATCATTAAGTGTTTTGTAATTGCTGTGGAAGCTTTTGGGGAGTGGGGGGGTTTGTTTGGGCCAAAAAGGAGCCACTGATAAAGAGGACTAATTTAGTGATAATCTGTTACTGTTATCATAATTGTTAACACATTGGCTTAATAGTTTGAATTTGACAATTCATTAATTTGCACTCGTCATAAAACATAAATAGTAAAAGATAAATGCTAACATTGTTAATATGGATATAAGGGACAGCTATATTAAACGTATTTCTTCATATTCTACTTTCATTAGATATGCCGAATCCTTCAGAGGGGTGCTGGATGTGGATCGGGCTCTCAGCTGCTCCTCTATTAGAGATTTCGAGGAAACGCTCGCCTGCTCCTCATCCCAGCTTCAGCGAACAAAAACAAGTTCTGGACTGGCCCCAGGAACCTCCTCGAAGGGTCTGGCCCCCTCAGCGGCCTGGGAGCTGGGTGAGAGGGCTTACCCAGCCAAGGACTGGGACGGCTACTGGAAGAGGAACGAGCCTCTCAGAGACGCAGACGAGGTAGCGGTGCCTGTGCTCTGTATCTGCAGCTGTGATGACCCCCTCCTTCCACCTGCAACGTCTTTGCCCCTTCCCCTTTTCAAGAGCAATCCTTACTTCCTGCTGGCGTTGACGGACAATGGAGGGCACTGTGGGTTCACTTTAGAGGGCAAAGAAGAGGAGAAGGAGGGAGGGAGGACAGGAAACGAAGAGGTTGAGGAGGACAACTGGAGTCATTTTGTAGTTCTGGAGTACTTCAGAGTGGTTGCTGATTTCCTGAAAAAGGAGGAGAGGGAAAATGCAGTGTGGGGTGCTGCAGCAGATTTTAGTCTGGCTGGGCAGTTGAGCAGGATCAGCAGCATGGCTCCCCTTCGCAAGAGGAGAAACCCTGTGATGAGGAGACCTAGACCAATGGCAGCTCAGCAGAGCAATGCGGAGGAAGAGGAGAACTTCACCTGGAAGAGGTCCTACACACGCTGAGAAGAAGACAAGGAAGCTGAATATTTGCAGAGAAATAATCATCTTTGGATGATTATTTTGTGCCTCCTTACTTTTAACATCTGTAGTTGGAGTTTTACAGTATATGACACAAGGACACAAAGTTTGGAGGAAAGAAAATCAGATAAATTCCATAGGAAACATGTTTGGAGTTGAGGAGAAAATCTGTATAAAAAGTCAGCAAAGACACGCACATCACTTATTCAGGTGCCGAGTGGTAAAAAAAAAAAAAAGCAAAAAAAACACTAGATTTGATGTACAGACTCGCAATGCTATGGCTCCCAAAGATGTAATCATTTGTTTGCTTTATGCATTAGAGAACACAATGTTTCAAGCCTGACCTTCAACAGGTTATTGTAAAACAATTCCCTGCATGTTGAAAGTGATCCCAGTACAAATGTATAAGCAGGTGGAAACATTGTATAACTGTATCAGTAACATTGTTATTAAAGGTCACATATTGTGCAAAATACACTTTACCATGCTTTGTGAACACTATGTGCCTTCTCAATGTAAACAATAAGTCATGGCGCTAGAAAGCCTGAGCCTACCAGAGACCTTCCAGAGAGGGGCGAGGTCAGACACAGCTCATTTGCATTTAAAGCTACAGACACAGAAACAGTCTGTTCTGAGCAGGGCTGAAATAGAGGGGTTTATAGGCATGATCAAATACAGGATCATAGTGGATTTATAACAAGAAACTTCACAGACATGTTTTGGGGAGCTCTGAGAGTTATTGAAACTTGTTGAAGAGGAGTATAATATGGGACCTTTAACATACTTCAGACATCTATGACAAAATTATAATGAATTCAGACCTTTTTGCTTCAGATTAGGTCTTTTTTTTTCTTAGCTTAAAAAAATATATTTTCTATGTTAGTCACAAAAAAACCAGCATGGGACGTAGAAATATTAAAATTACTTTATTACAGATGATTCTTTATCCAGTAGCCCTCTTCCAACAAAAAATAGTAATTACAAACAAAATATTACATTTATCCCCTAAACTTTGTTTCTGAATTGATTTTATACATTTTAAATCACTTTTTCATCTGCAAGGAATAGCTTTTTTCTCTTCTGCTATGCGACATTCATCTTTTTTTCACAATCTATACAATTTAATACAGTTTAATACAGGTCTCTGGACTAAGAGGAATAAAACAGCAAGATCCACCAAATGACAGGGAAGAGAAAGGGAATACTGATAAACTGACTGTACAGAGATGTGACCCTGCCTCCCACCTTCTTTCAGCCAATGGCAGCTCTTTGGGGGGAGGGGGGGTCACAGCAGACTCTTTGATCTGTTCAATCACTTGTGCAATCAGTGCAACTGATCCAGTTCAAAGTGACCAAGGTCTAAAGCTAGACTCTGCCCCGACTGCCTGCAAAACACCCGGTTGTTCTAGTAAACAAGGAAGTAGGTTTGAATAAAATTTGCCACAGGTTTGGCCTTCTGTAGACATAATATGGAACATAAAATAACCCTTTCTAAAATAAAAGGAAATAAAACACTAAACTGGAAAAACAGGTTCATAAAAGATGTGGGGTACAACTTCATACTGGCTGCAGAGACAAGTGAGACCACCACATACTGTGTTTTTCTTTTCTGTTTCAGAACTAGGCCATGAAATCCAGATGAGTATAAGTTCTGAGTGCATGGTGGTACGATCTATAAAGGCAAACACTTGAGTTAAGTGTGATGACTTTGTGTGTAAAACCACAGGGGGGCAAAGGTTTCATAAATCAGAAATAAAAGTCCAAATAGTGGACCCCACAACACCTAAGAGGAACCATTTGTAAATGTCAAACAGCCTTATTTACTCTTGTGCAAGAATTTAGAAACAGTTTCAGGTTGCCAAGTGTGCTGAATATTGTTAATGCAGCCAAATATTTTTTTTTAGATTTTGTATATTTTTCTAAGGTCTTCTTAAAACGATGAAAAAAAACCTAAATAGACGTATTGATTCTTCTTTATCATGTTTCATCATAATGTCAGTAATGGCCAGTGCAAAAGCAGAGGCTACACTTAACTACATTTGAAATGTGCAAAAATCGTCCTCATTCAGTATTCAAGAAACTGTTGCATTACTCAAGGCAATCCAAACCGACGTTGTGTAGTTATTGTTCGTTAAAGGAATATCTTTAACATGTTTGTGAATTCACAGCTGCGAGGAAGACTGTGAAAACCCAGCGGCCGATAATCTAACGTTCCTGTGAGCACCACTGATCTAAAACAATGTCACTGTGTCGGCATAACAACAGGTTAATTTGTCTCTGATTTGTCGATTAGATGTCCATATTTTCAACTTCAAAATATACAATATTAACAGGTTTACTGTACATTCCACCTCTGACACTCATAATGCACAATCTCTGCATTTCACAATAAGACTTCCACCGTAATCTCTATTTCACTATAATCCTTCTTTTGCAATAGATTTATATAATATTACATAAATATATTTTCTGTACTTCTTTACTTTCACTTGAAGAGCTCTTCCCATGTCGATCAGGGAGGAGGCGATGACCACACAGTGCTCACAAAGGGGAGGACACAAAGCTGGAGGGGAGGAGGGAATCACTGGTCAGAACGCCACATGGGGGAGCGACCCGGGGGTGAGACAGAGCGGGGTGTCAGTAGGGAGGAAGGTTGCAGGGACATGGCAGTGGAGATCACAGCATCACTGCCCATCAGCTGACACATACAGAGACCACCCACCAGCAGAGGGCGAGCAGCTGCTCTTTCTGCTTCCTGTTCACTGGCTCCATGAAATTCTCTTTTGTAAATCAAAACATCACACACAGATGTTTGTAGTTATCTGAGATGGATACTGTCGCACGGATTGTGTTGCTCACTTACAGCCAACTAGGCTAACTACTGCTAAGTGTGCTATATCCCATTTTTCACATAATTTACCAACTTACATGCATTCATTATCCAAGTGTCTAAAGGGACAAACCTTCCCTGTGGAATAAAATCTTATTTTTTTATATTAATGTGTGTGTGTGTGTGTGTGTGTGTGTGTTTGTGTGTCTGTGTGTGAGAAACATTGCCACATAACTCCTGCTGTTGCAAAGCACTACTAGAGGATTCTCGAGGTAGGTGGACAGGCATGGTTAGAGAGTTTCACCAACAGATACATCACCAAATTCGACCAAGAAATGACTGCAAACGAGGGGCGGGAGAACACCAGTTTTGAAAGCATTCAAGCAAATGTGGGCTTCTGGAAGCTAAACCCGCCCCTTAGTGAAGGTGCTGGACTAATAGGTGTACAGTATTCCTTCGGTTAGCCGTCCATTGGACGGGTGAGAGTGAAAGGGCAGAGACCTGTGGAAACGCAAGAGCTAAGCCAACTACACTGAGTATGCTTTTTTTTGATTCTGCAACGCATGCATCTATTTGGCCACAATTTACTGACTCAACCTGAATCTCTGGAAAAAAATCTCTTTGATGATTGGCATTGATGACAAACTCTGCACTTTTACCATTGGCATCTTTGGCATTGACATACGTATTGTTTTTTTTTAGGTAGATTTTCTCTCAACTGTAGGATATACTTCTGAAAAAAGTCATTCAGGCTGGAATGAAAACTTGTCTTAAAAGTATTCATTATTGTATTCAGCCATCTCTGTGCTGTGACTTTATGTTGACATTATGATACCCAACGATACTCACTTACAACAACCTTCTTTCTTTTTCTTTTTCCCTCTCTAGACTTCTGCTCTTCGATCATCAGAGCCCTAAACACCACCTGCCCTCTCCTCTTCCTGTTACATTTCACTTAAAGATTAATGTCATTAAACTTTCCTTCAATAAAAGATGATATGCTTAACTCTATAGGGCACACTATCTAATGTCATTCTTAAAATAGCATACTGAATGCATATTTTCCCATAACGCACCTCAATGGGCTATTGCATTTAAAATAGCATACTGCAAACAAAGGACTACAAACCTCTGGTAGTTGTTACAATCATTACTCTGGGTCTATGGCAACACGAACTAACATGGCAAATATATACACATGGAAAAGCATTGCAGGCTGCTTTAAAAAATGACACTATAGCACTGTGGCATGCCTTCTACGGCTGTCAGCTATCTGGGATTTGGCCTCAAGCCCTTTGGGTTTCCACAGACTGCTGCTAGCACTCATGGAAGAGACTGAAAGTGGTGATGGTAAATCCAGTGTTAACACTTTTTTAAGATTAACTGTTGGAAACAACGAGTGTGAGTGAAGCATGTGTGGTGCGTACATGGTGTGTGATCGTGTGTCGATTTCACTTGAAGACAACCAACGTGTCGTGCGTAAGGTAAGCGTGTGTTCTAGGTGTAAGACAGGTGGGATCCGTTGGAGATCTGAGAGGTGATGCTGGCGCTCCTGCTCATGCCCTGTTCATTCCTCCCCCCTGCTGACGTCCTCCTCATAGCCTGCGGGCTGTTCCTCACCCCTCCTGCGCCTGCTCCACTCCCCCTCTGACTCCCTCCTCCAGGGTGGTGGAGGCTCCAGGGAGGCGGGCCCCCGGCCAGCATGGGATGACCCCAGGGCTGCTGTGAGCTGGAGCCCCCCTGGTGGTGATGACTGTGGTGGCCACCACCACCACCAACTCCTCCTCCTCCTCCGGGCCAGTGGCCTCCCCCCTGAGCCCCCTGGCCTCCTCCTCCACCTCCTCCCCCCCAGCCTCCCTGGGAATCAGGGGCCAGGTTAGTGAGCACCATGTTGCTAAAGCCCAGGCGCATGGACTCTGAGTCAAAGGCTTCAATCTCTCGAGCCTGGCGCTCCAACAGGGAGCGGATTCTCTCCAGACGCTCGTTCTGTAGGGCTAGCATCTCCTCCTCAATCTGGGGGGGTAAACACACAGACTAATGAACTCAAATTCATTTGAACTGAAAGTGCAAAAAATACAACTGCTACTTGACTAGAGGGCAACTGATTTTAAAGTTTCTGGTTAAAGGAACAAAATTTAGCAACTCAACTTAATCCTTGATATTTTTGAGGAAGACAAGGACGTATTTTTCCAGCAATTAAATTATAAAAACAATTATAAAAAGAACATCTGAAGACATTCACAACTCTTAAACTAAGACGCCTCTATAAGAAGGGTGCATGTTATGCCCACTCAAAGGGAGATTACGATCTTTCTTACTTTCTGCTCCAGCAGGGCCCTCCGCAGAGATACCCTCTGCTCCAGATCCCTCCTCTCCTTGTCATGCTGAGCGTCTGTCTGCATCTTGATCTTGCTCTGGTACGCGTTGAGCAGCTCCAGCTCCTGCTGCAGCTGCATCCTCAGAACCTGACACTCCCCTTCTTGAGCCTCGTCCAACCGCAGCTGAGGGCACGTAAGCAAAAGAGACAGAAAAAGTCAAAGAGAGACAAATAACACATCTTTCTCTGGAGACATACTCCTGTAGGCTGTTTGTAAATTTGTAAATGGTCTGGATAGAC